CCGGCCGCGCCGGACGGCGCCGCGCGGCCGCGGGTGCCCGCGGCGGCAGGGGCGCGCCGCCTGCCGCCGCGCGCGACGGCCCCACAGTCGGACTCGATCGGGCGGGACACGCAAGAGGGCACAGGACCCTGCTACGACCTCCTCCTCCTACTCCTCCTCCTCCTCCTCCTCCTCCTCCTCCTCCTCCTCTTCCTCCTTCCTCCTTCCTCCTCCTCCTCCTTCCTCCTCCCTCCTCCCTCCTCCCTCCTCCCTCCTCCTCCTCCTCCTTCCTCCTCCTCCTCCTTCCTCCTCCTCCTCCTCCTCCTCCTCCTCCTCCTCCTCCTCCTCCTCCTCTCCCCCTCCTCCTCCTTCCTCCTCCTGTTCCCCCTCCTCCCTCCTCCTTCCTCCTCCTCCTCCTCCTCCTTCCTCCTCTTCCTCCTCTTTCCTCCTCCTCCTCCTCCTTCTTTTCTGACAGGCCCGGGGCCCGTGCCCCCAGAGGCCGGAAGTGGTCCCCAGACCCCCGCGTCGTGCTTTCAATGCCTCGTGCGGTGGCGGAGCAGGATTTGTTTCCCATGCTTCTGGGCCCGTGGCATCGTCCTAGCTACAGTCGGACTCGATTGGACAGGACACGCGACAGGACACGAGGCCCTTCCGAGGGCCACATTGCCACAGGAATGCAGGAGCCATGGGTCGCGGGACACAGGGCACAAGGGTACCCTCGATTTGGCAGGGTCGGCCTGCTAATCTGGGCCGACTGTACCAGGACCACCCGAACCCAACCCGAAGACCCGAATTTCGCCCGAAGTTCGGGTTGCTGGGCGGTGGGTACGGGTTTCCTGTGGTTTTTGTTCCATGTTCCCCGACCGCCCCCCGACTGGAAATAGAGGGCAAATCGAGGCCTTCGGGTTGGGTTGCGGTGGCTTGGTGGGCGGTGACACACGGGGGGCGACGAGACCCACAAGCGCTCGCGCCGTGGGAAAAAAAAACAACCAAAACAAGCAACCACAAAAGAACCACCACCCCCCCCAAAAAAAACAGTTTTTGTTTGAGTCGGCGGGCGCAAAGAAGATGGGGAAGCGGTCCGACGCCGGTGGTCGGGGATGGACAGACCCCCCTTTAGCAAAACGTGGTTTAGTGAAAAAACGACCTCGGGCCCAAACCTGGCGGGCGCAGGCCTGGAAAATGACGGCCGCGGCGCCCTCTCGAGAACCGAAAACGGACAATTCACTAATCGACGTCGAAGGTGTCGCATTTTCTCCTGGGCTTGTCGGGAAGGACGCTTGCGGGTGAGAGTCTGCTGGCGAGTCAGGCCTGCCATGACATGGAAAGTGGCGCCACCAATGAGCCTCGCAGCGCTGTTCTGCGCCGCGAACCCGCGGGTGGAACCGGGGAAGAAGTGGTCATATACAGGTAGAACAACTGGAGTCATGAAAAAGGTGTTGCCGGATCCTCTAGGGCCGTGCAGGAAGAGGCGCTGCGCGAATCTGGCGGGAACGTCCATGAGGAGCTGCCGTCTGCCAGCGCTTGTTCGGAATTCGGCAAGCCGTCCGCGGCCTGCTGCAAAGTCCCACAGCGCTTGGAGCGGTGATATACAGAAGAGCGTGGCTTCGTATTGATCTTGAGGAATGCGATAGGTGTCGGCATGCCCGTCGCGGTGGGGAAGTCGCTCAGCCAGCAGCTTTCGCGCGTACATGGCGGGGGGGTAGCCCCAGGGCGTGTCTGGCAGGAACGCTGCCTTCAAAGAAGCCTCGTCGTCGTCGTCGTGGATCTCGGCGTGGCCATGTTGAGGTGGTGCGACGTGTACCTCCCGTTCTTATTGGGCGGCGCGCTCTTCTCGTATGCGTCGTTGCCTGTGCGACTTGGGGGGAAGGGATCGCTGCGGGCACTGGGAGAGCAGGATCAGGGGGATTACGAGCGTAAAGGCAGTGGAGGTTCGGAAGGAGGGAAGGAGTCGAAGAAGGAGCGGGGAGAAATATGAGAGGGAGGGCGCAGAGCCTCTGTATGGCGAGGTTGTCTGCGGCAGGTGTGTGCTGCGACCCAGCCCGAAGAGTAGGGGGTGTAGTTCGAGGCTCGCGGAGGTGCTCGTAGAGGTGGGCCTTCGCGTTGAGGAACTCCTGGATGCGGACATATCTGTCGCCCGACCGCTTGTCCGATTTTCCAGCAGAGAGATGTCGGTGTACGACGTCCAGCACGTCGGAGTCACGTGCACGCACGTGTGGTTTTGTATTGGACACCGGTTGGGGTGTCGCGCTCGGTGCCATCGTCGCATTCGGGGTTTGCGCTGGCGGGGTCTCCAATGTCGCCCACGTCAGCCCTGGCGGCCTGCAAGCCAAGGTGCGCATCATCATCAACGAAAGCTCCTTTGTGCAATAATGCAGGTTGTGGGCGTTTCCGGGCCTCGGCCATGAAACTGCAGTTTGCGCTGCTCTCGACCGTAATGAGCGCGAAGAATTCTTTTGGCGTGAGTTGTTCGTCGTGCACGCCAAAAGAGGTGAAGGGTGCAGTGCTTGCTGAGTCCTGGGGAGGGTCAGCTACCTGTGCGCGGTTGTTGGCGAGGCCGGGGGTGTTGCTCAGTCGTAAGGGTTCGGCGTTGTAGTCGATGACGTGGGAGACGAAGCCCAGGATTCTCCGAGCGACGTCGGGCGGCAACGGCCGTAGGAAACCTGCGGGCTGGCCGCCGTGGCGGGCGCGGTTCGTCCGAACGAAGAGCTTCTTCGAGCACGGAACGCGTGCACCGGCAATGCGTGGCGCTCTGCAGTGTAGGGTGCCTCCCGCGGACCATGGCCCGATGTAGCAGTGCCGGCATGCTCCACAAAGCCATGGGAGCAACCAGTCGTGGACCATGCAGTGAGTCTGGGCCCCATCGACGATCCATGACCGAAGGGCTGTGGCATCGAGAAGAGTAGGAACACGGCGAGCACGCTGGAGTTTGGCATCGGCGCGTTGGGCCAGTGTCAGTTGCTCAGCTTCGAAGGCCCGCCACGGTTCCAGGGAGCGGTCCACGCCTTTGCGCGGTGTGGCCGCACGTGTCGGTCGAGTGCGGCCGTGCAGGACATCAGACTGGCACGAGGTTGCCTGTGCGAGGTAGCGGGTAGAATGAGCGGCAGGAGTTCTGCAACACCCTTTGCGTGGGCACCTCGTTGGTCTGAACAAGGTTTGCTGCGTCATCGCATGGGTGGAAGCGTCGGAAGCCTGCGTAGGCAAGGTGAAACCATGTAGATACGGTGTCCGCGGCGCTTCCAGGAGAGTTTGTACAGTAGTCGCTGCCTTGCAGTAGTGGGCGTCGAAGGGGAAGTGCTTGGTGCCTCGTAGCTCTGCTTCAGCGCGCGGGCAGACGTGGACGTACATGGCATAGTGGTAGTACCCCATGCTGGCAAAGGGTTCCAAGGAGCCTCGGCGCAACCAATCGTCGTAGAACGCGTCCGTGGATAGGCGCACTGCGGAGTCCCCCGTCGGGGTGGCGAGGGGGGCCGCGGTCGGGGGACGCGCCTCGGGAAGGGGAGGGCGGGTGAGGGCCGGACGCAAGAGTTGGATGTTGGACAACTTGTGGTGGGTTTCAGGTGGTGCGTCGGCGGCTCCAGTCTCCAATTGCCGCAACGTTTCTCGAGCGGACCAGACCGGGCGTTTCATCATGACTCGCCAGTGCTGGTGTGTCCGGATAGTTCCCCGTCTTGTTACAACTTGGAGAGCCATCAAACAGCATCCTTTCATGGTGGCATGGTTCGCCGAGGACCAGAGTCGGATGCGGCGTCGGCGGGCCTCGTTCTGCGAGCTTGATAGGGGCGTCGGGTCTGCGTGTGCGGTGCCCACCAGAGCGCCGGGTCTGCAGTCTGCGTTGTGGACGGCACCCTTCTGGAGGTAAGCTTTCATAGCGGCGGTGTCGTTTTTTTTTTTTTTTTTTTTTTTTTTTTTTTTTTTTTTTTTTTTTTTTTTTTTTTTTTTTTTTTTTTTTTCATCTGGGCCTCGAGCTGTTCCATGCCGTGCGTCGGACGCTGCAGAAGAGGCCCGCATGTCATGTTGGGCTTCGCGTTGTAGTCGCAAGTGTAGAAGCTCGTCTGGATCCCACTGCGGATAGACTCGACCACTGAGTAAACGAGGTTGGTGCGGATAGCCAGTGCCTTTGAGCTGAGGACAGCGCCCCCGACGCGGCGTCGTTCAGCAGCGCCGTGTCTGGGACAGGGAACGAAGCACATCTGCTTGCAGCAGAGCAGGAGCATTGTCGTCGTCGGCGCCGGCCCCAAGAACGAGGATACCACCCGATGGGCGGCAGCATCGGCGTAGCACCCGTTGGTGGCATGGTGACATCGGCCGACCTCCGGTAGAAGGAGATGGGGAAGCGTGAGGCTCCTGGCGGTCCGAAGGTGGGCTCCGAGAGAGCTCAATATGGCCTCGGGTGTCCCTTGGTGGCCTCCAGGGTGAGCTCAGAAAGTTGCCATGCGAGCCTCGAAGTGAGAACAGCACGGCATCTTTCGAAGCATTTGAAGTAATTGAGAGACGGATCCAAGACGGCACGAAGACGGCTCCAAGAAGGTGGGCTCCGAGAAAGCGTAAGATAGCCTCGCCCTTAGAGGGCTCGCAGGGGTGAGATGCGATCAGAGAAAATCCAAGAAGTGGACCTCTGGAGGAACTTTGCGTCGGTTCCCTGGTTGTTCGTTTGGGCCAAATGGGTTCCCAGTGGAAGGCCTCATGGGGGTTCCGGTGGGTGTCTTCAGAGTCCCTTGGTGGCCTTCGAGGTGAGCTCAGCACGTTGGCGAGCCTCGAAGTGAGCACAGCACGTCATCATTCGAGGCATTTGAGGTACTGAAGCCGGGTGAGGTGAGCTCAGCACGCCACCATGCGAGCCACCAGCTTTGCAGAAGCTGTGCGCGTGAAAGGGAGTGGAAGGAAAGCGAAGAAGATAGCCGCTAACTAATGCATTGAAAGACGGATCCAAGACGGCGTGAAGACGGCTCCAAGCCTTTCGGATAGGATTTTCAAGCTACGCAGACCATCGCGGTGCATGTGCAAGATGGGTGGACGTCCTGGTCGCTTAGATAGCGGGGTATCTGGCCGAAGGTATAATCCTCGGAGTTGTCGCGCTCATACCCGTCCGTGAGGGTGCGGCGACAATGCTGGTAATCCAAATTCCCTCTGTGGGCAACCTTTCCTGCCATTGTCGTGCTGCCCTCTCTGGGATTGAACCGCACTGCATTGATGCGCCCACGGCGGGCCTGCCTGTCGTCGGTCTCGACGCTGGCACCAAGGGAGCCATCGGTGAACAATCCAGTGTCGGCCAGGATAGGCATGGACTGGGTGTCTACAGGAGGCTGGCCACGTACTCGTGGCAACTGTGGCTCCTTTCCCACGCGGGCCAGTAGCCGTTCTACAACCCGCCCCTTCGCCTCACCTTGACCTAGGCGATCGGCGGTGGACGGTAGCCAGAGCCTGACGAACTGCACGAATCCGAAACGGCAGTGTTGAGGCTTGCGAGAGATGCCATCCTCAATGTATTTGAAGCATGTGTCATGGTGCTGATGGATGCGGCCGCTGAGGCTGCTGATGTTCCAGTGGTCTTCTGCCAACGCAGCCGCGTAAGCCGCAGCTTCGGCTCGCGTGGCCGCATCGTCGCGGGCGCTGGTCGCGAAGACCTGAGACCTCGCCGCGCAGCCGACGCATGTGCACGATGGTTGCTTCTCTGGGAGGATGCGGTAGTGCGGGAGCTTTGAAAGTGTCGCGCCCGTCAAAGGAAGGGCACGTTCTCGAACTGGGGTGCCTGCGTTCGCGTCGCGCTGCGTCTGCAGGTAGCGCTGGACATGATGGTCGACGAAGGCGGGCGCTGGAGGAACGAGAAGTCGTCGCCTGGTAGGGCCCCTTCGGTCGCCCTCGAGGTCGCCGTCGAACTTGTCCTCGCGCTGCCACCTCTCAAGGTAAGGCGTGCTTTTGAGGGGTGGAGCTTCTGAGGCGCGGCCCACGAAGTGCAATGGGACAGTAGCGGAAGATGTAATCTGCAAGGCCTCGACGGCTTGGAGCACAGCGCGCTGCCAACGTTGCAGGGTCGATCGCGCCTCGGCCGTGTCCTTGCGGAGGACGGAGCGCAACCATGATTGAGACGTTCGGTTGACGAAATGGAACACCATGTGGGAATGCGTGCTGAGGCGCGCTTGTTCCTCGATGGCGCCGCTCAACGATGCGATCATGTTCATCCCGCCTCCCATCGCGGAAGCTGCGTAACCGTCAGGAAAGACGACTCCGTTGGCTGCCCCATTGTGCTGGAGCAAATCGTCGAAAGGCCCGGTTCCCAGGATATGTTCACAGAACAATCGCATGCTTAACCGCGGACCCGGCACTGTCGGGCGCTCGGTGGCTTAGTGCAGACGGCGGAGGTGATGACGGCGAGGTGTCGGAAGGCCAAGGCGGAGGGGGCAATGAGGGGGCCAGGATGGCGCTCGAAGGTGGTTGTTGGAGGGCTATGTATTCCACGCGCCGGCCGTCTCCCGGCCCGCGGCTGAGTCGGCGCAGGGGTGAGTAGGGGTGGGGGGGCGGGGAAGCCAGAGCCAGCGCTGTTTGACAGACGTGTTTGGGAATCGGCGATGCGGAGGGGCTTGGCGGAAGGTGCCGGAAGCTCCGAGATAATGAAGAACCTTGCTTGCGCAACAGGGTCTTTGGCGATTATTTCTAGCATCCTTTGCGCTGTTGGCATCGTTGGGTTCTCGTCGAGGAGAGAGATGGAATACCTTTCCGCGGCGCCGTCATCATCGAGTCCTGGAAGGGGAGGGGGCGCGACAACTTCTGAAGCGCGTAGGGGGTGGGCGCGGAGACGCAAGGGAGGAAAGTTTATGGCAGGGAAGGCTTCCAGTTTTCGAGCGGAGCGGAGATGTGAGAAACACGGGGGGGGGGGGGGGGGGAACCTAGCAGGGGGGAGAGGGAGGGGCGTCTTCGAGCAGAGGTCGGTCCTCCGCTGGTGTGGTTGAGGGAACCGGCATGGAGGATCACCACTAAAGGGTTCCGGGTGTCTGCGACGTTCGGGGTGAGGAAGCCTCCTATGCCGCCGAATCGGAGCATGTCCCCCATCTGCTCGTGGCGAAGCTGTTGACGAGCACCCTCGGAACCGACAACGTCGCTGCTGAAGAAGAGGAGGTTTCGCACGGCCTCCCGCAACGAGGCGGGAGCGTTGTCTGAAAGCAAGCACTCACGGAAGCCGGCTCTCTCACCCATGGATTCGAAGGCGGATCGGAGTTGGGCCCCCGTGGCCTGGCAGACGAGGTCGACGCTGGTTTGGAAACCTCTTCGTCGTACGTGGGCCCCGGCTCTGCGCGTGAGCTCCATCCTGCGCCAGGAGTCGTACAGGACGCAAAGGAAGTCGAGATCGGCGCCCCAGCGTGGTTGGGCCGGTGGGGCGAAGGGCGCGGTTCCCCTGGCGCATTGCGCACACGGTCGAGCGCCGCGCTTGACAAGAGGGCAGTCATGTGGCAAAGCGTCGTGGACCTGATAGCGGAGCTCAGCACGTAGCAAGAGCATGCGACACCATTGCTGGAAAGACAGCGGGCGGCGTCGGTCGATGCCGTAGACGCCATCCCCGTACGGGAACAGGTGGGGGAAGGCTTGTTGCCAGAATTCTTTGTCGTACATGGAGAGGGGCCGTTTGCCTGTAGGACTGACCCAGGTTCGGTTAGGGTTTTGCCGGGCGGCAGGCTCTCGGCTTTCTGCCGCGTCCATGGCCTGTAAAGCGCTGTTCAACTGCTTGCGGTATTCGTCAGTGTTGAGGTATTGTGCCAAGACCTGCAAAGACTCAATCTCGGTGGCGACGTCGGTCGTGGGTGCATCTGTGGAAAGTTTGGAGGATAGGACCTCGAACCTGGCAGCGAACTCGCAAGCTGCTCGGTCAGCGTCCAGCGCACCCGTGGAGAAGTCGGTTGCGGCGCAATGGAGGTTGACGTCGTCGGAGTCGGGGTGAAGGTCGTCGTCGGTCTCTGGGCCTGCAGGCGGTGGCGCGGTGTCGGGCTCGACGTGGGGCGTCAATCTGGCGGTGGGATCTTCCATGGCTCTCCCGTCCTCTGCGATGATGCTTTCTGGCACGGGGACTTCGGGTGCGTCGAGCGTGGCAGGACCAGGGATGAGGTGCGGCGTGCGTGTGGCGGCTTCTACACGGGTGGCTTGTTGGAGAACTTCTGCGCAGCTGTGTCCTGCTTCCTGGAGTCGTCGCGCGGCTTCATCCTCGTCAATGTCGAGCGCGCGGTAAGCTTCCGAGTGCGCCACGCAGAAACGCACTGCCGTCATGTATGCTTCCCGTGGGACTTCAGCCCACGTAGCTTTATCCAAGTCGTCTACGGATGCTCCCGCAATTGCGATGGAGAGGCCGTCGGCGAAGAACTGCTGAGAAACCTCGGGTTCGGCAGGTAGGGCTTGGGTCACGAGCTCTGTGGCGCAAGCCTGCGGGAAGCAAATTGAATTGCTACGCGACCCCTTCTGCTTCGTGCGGGGATCCGCCTTCTTTGTCTTCTCGGCGATTATTTTCCGAACGAGCAGGCGGGCGAGGGCGAGCATGGCGAACGTCATGGGGGACAGCTTCGCACCGTTCTTCCGGAATGCGACAGGTTCTCGCAAGATGAGGTTGTCATTAGCGAGAGCGCACCGAGGGAGGAGGGGCGTTTTTTGGAGAGGTCGAGTCTGCAGCTGAGGCACGTGGGTATGGAGGGGAAGCGGCCCTCGGAGTCCGGCTGCAGCGTGTTTTCCGGGAGTAGGCCGGGACCGCCGTCCATGGAGACGGGGATAGCTGTGGTGTCCAGTATCCAACGGCAGGCAGTACCGTCCGAATATGTGGCCCAAGGGTGCACGACGCTTGTGCCGTAGACCTCTGCTCGGGGCAGGGTGTGGTGGCCCCCTGATGATTCGGGGGCCCGCCATCGGTCCATGTAGGCATCTGCTGAGAGGACGTCGTCGAGTTTTCGTGCGCGAGAGTGCACCTGGGCGGAGCCTTGTTGGACTTGACCATCGTCGCCGTCGCAATCCTCGTCGAGGTCCGGGCGGGGCCTGTTTGTAGAGCCTTCGGCGGGCCGCGGTTCGAACAGCTCGAACTCTTCGAGGTCTTCCTTCCAGAATGTCATGGCGCACACAGCGCAGCTGGATAGACCTCGCTCTTGGCCGTTGTGTAGTGGAAGGCCGTGCTTGATTTTGCGCGTTCCCAGGTAACTGTGCGTCTGATGGCGCGCGCGCGCTGACGGCACGTCGGACTTCTTGTCCTGCGACAGGATACGGGCCGTCACGCTCCTCGTAATAGAAGACTCGCTTTCGGCACTCTTCCTCGAGGCGCACGGCGTCGAGGCCGGGCAACGCTGCAGTGGGCCTCGGGCAGGTGCTCTGCGAGGCCGCCATCCCCGAAGGGGGGGGGCGCGGGGGGCGAGTGAACCGAGACGAAGAGCCACAAATCGGAGGGCATGCGTGTGGCAGGGGTCTGAAGGGGCCTTGTGTAGTTAGTGGGCGAGGTGGGCCCGCGGAGAGCACGAGGCGCGAAGGCGACGCAGGGGCACGAGCGGCGCGAATGGAGTTGCGGCGGGGGGGGAATGGGGGGAAGCAGGGGGGGAGGCGAAAAAAGCCACAGGCGTGCTGCATAACGAATCCTTGGAGTCGCAGCCATGACCACAGAGGTAGCACGGGACGGGGGCGCCACAGAGCGGTAGGCGAGAGAAGGAATGCCGAGCGCCGTGGTCACGCAGAAGGTGGGCTGGAAGGTAGGAGTCGCAGATCGCCGTCTCAGTCCAGATATCGCGGCCCAGCTGCCTTTCCCATTGCTGAATCTCCCGTTCGGAGAGCTGGGCGCGGAAGAACCTTGCGGTTCAGAGCTGAGTGAAATCTGTGCTGGTCGCCAAACCGAGCTTGTCGGGCGACTGCCAGTTGACGCGCCAACTCCGCTTCATTGTACGCTTGATTTTGTCCCCCGTGGGTTCGAGCAGCGGGTAGCCTATGGTTCGCGTCTCTGAACGCAACAATGTCGTCGAGCAAAGTGTCCTCTTCCCAGTCAAAAGTCGCGGAGCTTTCGGGCAGGGAGTTGAGAAGGCCCACGGTTGTTTGCCACCCAACACGCTCCTGCGGGGATAGAGGTGTCCTCGGGGCCCAAGAAGAACCGATCCGGGGGGTCTTCGTGCGGGCAGCAAGGGCGCGGTGTAGACCGATGCGAAGTAGGCGCCACTGTCGAAGGTGCGGTCGGGGTGGGCGACGGTGAAGGTTGACGAAGTCGCGCAATGCAGTGGCGAAGTCTGTCTGGGACAGCCTCGCGTATGAAACTTCGTAAATGAGATCAGACCGGGAGGAAGTCCGGGAAGACGTTGAGGATCAGCGGAGGGTGCTCTTAGCAGCCTCCTGATGCAGAGTTTCGCAGGGGCAGATGCGTAAGGTGTCCAAGTCGTCCGCGGTAATCGGCAGGGTCACGTGGAGCTGCGTGTCTGCGAGGTTATGTTTCGCACGTTGCCGACGATGTTTGCCTAGATCGGCGGAGTCAATGTCGTAGGCGCGGCACCGCGCGTCGAGGGCGGGGTCGAGCGCAACGTCAGTGGGCGAGGACTGTAAAGGGCAAGTGTCGAGAGAGAGAGAGAGAGAGAGAGAGAGAGAGAGAGAGAGAGAGAGAGAGAGCTGGAGCATCGAAGGCCAGACGCCTGGATGATGCTTAGCCCATTGCACGACAGCGGCGAGACGGAGAGGTTGTTTCCACATGGAGACGCGCAGCAGCAGATGGACTTGATCAACGAGATTCTCGATGTATTCTTGTAGGTGGGCGGCGCACAGTTGCTCGTCGAAAGGTATGCCGAGTGCCACGCACCAGGCTGTGATAGTGACAGGGGCGTCAGCGCGGGAGGTGTGGAGCTTCCATGTGGGCAGCCAGGCGCGCCAAAGTCGTTCCCAATCTTCCGGATGCTGCTGAGCCCACTGCTTGATGAAGGTTGCGTCAAGGTGGTCAGGCCACTGAGGCTCCGCTCGCAATATGGAAGTTGCGCCGATTAGTTGGTGAATGTACTGGGGTCTCAGGTCATTTCGGAAGCCTTTGAACGGAATGAGGAGAGCTGCGCACCAGTCCTCGATCGTAACCTCGTCGGGGCCTCTCTGTTTTCTCGCGGGCTTCCAGACGGGCAGTCCGCGCCGTAGTTGTGTCTCCCAGGTGGGGGGGGGGGGCATTGTGGGCCCAGTCTTGGATGAACGCTCGGGCGAGGAGAGGTGGCCACTGAGGCCAAAGCGTGTCGGGGGGGGGTGGGTGCTCGGCGTGCGCGGCAGGGGCGCTGTGCATTTGGGCGGTGGCAATGATGACGTGGTCCGTCAGGCGTTGTCGGTGAGCCTCGTCGTAGCTGTCAAGAGAAATGTGTAGTGTGACGCACCAGTCTTCGACGGAGGTGTCCTTGGGTCCTCGTCGGTGGGACGCCATGGGGCACGCGGACAGGGAGTGTCGCAATTTGAGCTCCCATTCTGTGCTGTGCCGTTGCACCCAGGTGCGCATGAAACTGGTGGTGAGGTCGGATGGCCAGGCGCGCACGAGTGACCGAGCTGCTGCGAGAAGGCGTGTGACGCACTCGGGGCGCAAGTCGTTGCGGTACCCCTTGAAGGGGGCCCCGAGGGCGATGCACCAATCTTCGATGGTGATGTCAATGGTGCCGTGCCGCTGCTTCTTTGCAGGGCTCCATGATTGTAGGCCCGATTGCCGCGTCGCTTCCCAGCCGTCGCCTTCGGGCGCGATCCACGCGGTGATGAAGTCGGTAGTGAGGTGGCGAGGCCATTTGCTAAGGGTCGTGCGGTCCGAAGGCGAGTGTCGTGGAAGTAGGCGCGCTGCTGCGAGAATCCGTTGTATGCACTCGGAGCGCAAGTCGTTGCGGTACCCCTTGAAAGGCAAGCCAAGGGCGAAACACCAATCCACGATTGTGATGTCAATGCTGCCGTGTCGCTGCTTCTTTGCAGGGCTCCATGCTTGAAGGCCCGCTTCCAATGTCGCTTCCCAGCCGTCCCCTTCGGACGCGATCCATGTGGTGATGAAGTCGGTGGCGAGGTGGCGAGGCCATTTGGTCGGGGCCGTGCGGTCCCGAGGTTTGTGGAAGTAGGCGCGCTGCCGCGAGAACCCGTTGCACGTACTCGGAGCGCAAGTCGTTGCGGCACCCCTTGAAGGGCACGCCGAGGGCGATGCACCAATCTTCGATTGCGATGTCAATGCTGCCGTTTCGCTGCTTCTTTGCAAAGCTCCATGCTTGTAGGCCGGATTCCAAGGTCGCTTCCCAGCCGCCCCCTGCGGACACGATCCATGTGGTGATGAAGTCGGTAGTGAGATTGCAGGGCCATTTGGTCGGGGTCGTGCGGTCCGAAGGCGATGTTTGTGGAAGTAGGCGCGCTGCCGCGAGGATCCGTTGCACGTACTCGGAGCGCAAGTCGTTGCGGTATCCCTTGAAGGGCACCCCGAGGGCGATGCACCAATCTTCGATTGCGATGTCAATGCTGCCGTGTCGCTGCTTCCTCGCGGGGCTCCATGCTTGTAGGCCGGATTCCAA